GAGGGGCGAAACGTTTCTTTTTAACAAAAAAACGAAGTCCAGATGACATGATTCAACCTTTTTTGTTGTTATATACCTGGATGACTGAGAAAACAAACTTTGTGTTTTTGAAACCATTAGTGAAAAGGCCAGACTTCAGGGGTATCTGAGGCAGGCTTGAAACACAAGAGTCAGGGTGACTTCTGGGTAATACCAGATGGCTAGGCCTCAGACTGATGAAGCCTCTTGGACAAGGGGCGAAACGTTTCTTTTTAACAAAAAAACGAAGTCCAGATGACATGATTCAACCTTTTTTGTTGTTATATACCTGGATGACTGAGAAAACAAACTTTGACTATAAATACAGATATCTCATCTGATTAAAATGTTTTAAGGTAGAATGTCACAACGCTGGCCATGATTTTAAAGTAATTTTAAAGAATAATGTGAAGTCCATTTACTACAGTATATCAAGCACTGCTTGATATAGTATATTAAACTAATAGGCTTTGTTGGGCTTTTGCAAACTTCATAATTGCTTTAGATGTTACTTTGCAGCAGACATTCACAAAATTAGAAGTGTGTGAAAGGCATGGGCTCGTGTCTCAACTGGATGGTTAACAATCTAAAATGCAAAGCAGCCTTTTTCCTTCTCAAGTATTTTCCCCCAACATTTAGAGCTGGGGTCTCATAATGAGGAACACCATAATGACTGCAGTTTCACTTTCCATTGCATAATGGCACTGCCAGACAAGAGATTTGTGGATAGCCATGTCAAACACTGACTACAAACCAGCCTCCAAATAACCCAGAATAGGCAACTTCAGTAAACAAAGAGCCAGATGCATACCGAGAGCAGTAGGAGTCAAGTTTTGTTGACACATTCTCATGCCTCTTTATAGCATTTTGAGAAATGTATCCAGCTGTGTGTTGCCTCTTATGCTACTCTCTCTCAAACACACACACACACACACACACACACTGTCTGGCTCGGCACATCTGTCATATTGACACAGCTGTGACTATGAAAGGGAGAACGGTGCTCCGAGAAGTAGACATGCTCTATTTTTCTTCGCTCAACTCTTTAAGAAATACACTCTTTCATTTGATGTTAGAAAGTCAGAGAGCAGGAACCCCGTCTTTGCTGAAATGGGCTGAAAGATTAACACACATGGGGAGTGCTACATGGCATGTTTGACCCTTCATAAAATGGACTACATGGCCATTTAGGGATTGTTTCGACAATTTCCAAGTAAAACTGCTTTGTGACTTGCTTTTAAGTACTCTTGATAAACAATTCTGAACTTTGATATTGGAGTAAATTATGTTCACTTTCATCAGGCTTTCTCAGAAACGCATATCTTCTCAGTAAAGCATAAATCAGGACAATGCACATGTTCTCTTACCTTGTGTATGGATGTCTTCTCTTCTTTCTCAGGTCCCTCCTCTGAGTCTGAGCAGGTGTACGCATCGCTGGGGTTAATCAGAGGGGCGGCGCGAGGTCGGTGCAGAGGTTGGAAGGTGAGCTGGGTTGTTAGCAGACTGCTGACGGCCCGCAGGGATGTGCAGGTGTGGGCAGGTAACGAAGGGTCAGCAAGCAGGTCTGTGATCAGTCCGTGGGCCTCTCCCATCACTGCTATGTCCACCATGACAGTCGTTCCTGATGACTACATGTTGACAGAGAGACGGAGGAGAGAAATGAACATCTCTGCTGCAGCCATGGACGTAAGTGTAATTAAAGGATGGGTCTGATAGGGCTGCATGTAGAGCAGGTGTGTAAACTATGTCACCAGTTCCCCTGCGAGGTCATCGTGTGGTGAACTGTAACACTGGACAGACACTAATCCTACAGAGCTGGCACTGCAAACTGCAACGGTTGGCAGTTCTGTCCCCAGCTCCTACTCATGTCAACGTGTCCTTGAGAATCACATTAACAATATTTTGATACTGATGTGGAATCATAAAGAGAAAGTGAAGGCTGCAGTAGCTTAATGGTTATGTGCTGCAGCCTTGTAATTCTGAGGCTGCTGGTTCAAGTCCAGGTTGTGTTCCAGGAAGGGCATCCGGCATAAAAGAATAGCCAAATCTTTCATGTGAGATTGCTTGCTGTGGTAACCCCTGCAGAAATGAGCAACTGAAAGAACCACATCATAGAGAGATAGTGCTGGGCATATAGAATGCAACTATAGATAGGATGTGTGAATCAATGGTAAACGAGTGCTTTAGCAGCAAGTTGCCACAGTAAACTTACTCAAACTGAAGATATGGCAAGTGGTTTATACCGGATGTCTCCAACCTGGACTCAAACCTGCAGCCTCAAGATTACAAGACTGAGGCACCTACCACAGAGCTATCACAGTCTCAAAGGTATAACCAAACTCACCCTGATGCATGCTCAATAATCCAGGTAGAATAATCTAAAAACGTTAAATCTGGTCCTCTTGACATTGAAAAAACAAAATAAAGCAAAACAAAGAAAAAATCTAAAAACGTTTCCTCTTTCATCCGAGAGACTTCCTCAGTCTGAGGTGCTGTATTCAGCTCAGTCTCTTAAATAGCACCTTCTCAGAGTGGATCAACCAGTTTGCTGCTGACAACCAAAACCAGCTGCTCACATGGTCAAGAAGGACCATCAGCCTAACAATGGGTCATTAGCACACTGATGGCTGTTTACTATTCACAGGAGGCTGAGTGATACTAGCAATAACAGCATTGTAATGGGGGACAGTTGAACCCGGAGGCCTCCACCCCTGTTTAATGATGGATGATTTCTTTTCACAAAGATGGCCTCCTTTACTCCTCTCTCAAACCATTGTTCCTCTCTGTCCAGGATGTGAACATCTTCATCCCTGAAAGAGTGACCGCTGGCCTGGAGATGAGTGTAGACCGCAGAGTCCTGGCCTGATGATGTTGATCTTCTGTGCTGGACCATCCTTTTGGCCAGTGGCTGTTTTGTTTCCCCAATGTAAGACTGATCACCCTCCTGACACTGAACAACATGCACAATATTACTCTGTTTGTGCCGGAGGGCTGGATCTTTGGGATGAACCAGTCTTTGCCGTAATGTATTTTGGGGTTTAAAAGCCACTGGAACATTATGTTTAGAAAATAAACGTCTCAGTTTCTCTGATACTCCCTCAACAAACGGAATGACCACTGGTCTGGGTCTGGGTTCCTCCTATTCACCTGATGGCTGACTGGAGTCCTGTTTGGGTTTCTTCTCTGCTTTCAGGAAGGCCCAGTTAGGATATCCACATTGCTCTAGAGC